AATAAAGTACCAAGGAATGAAAATTAAAATCGTGTACATTACACCCAAACACCGCAACGCTCGAGTTTCAAACATACAGGTAACTAGCTGTACTGAACTTTCTGAGTAAATTGAGGGCGCATTTGCAAACGATGACGCTTAGCGAAATTTGATTGGCTAAATTTATGGTAGCCATCTTGGATGGTACACACACACAGTTCTACGTATTTCGAACATCGAATACATTGCGGTTAGCGCTCTAGTATTCTTATTATACCTCTATGAGTTCTCCACACAAAAAAAGTGTTCCACCGAAATGCATGGTGGGAACACGAAAAATGGGACGCCCCCTACAGCTGGATCTAAAAAAACTTGTGCCAAACTTTCGTTATCAAGTCGTCGCGTATTTTATTATCAATTCTCAACAAAGATACTAGATATAAAAACAAACTGGAATAGACACCCAAACAGTGACATCGGTGAATACATAACCTCTTTGGTGGCGGTAGAAATCGTTGCTATTATCCAAATAATACACAAAACAATTAAAGCATAATCATGAATCAGTAAAGAATAAAACAACAATACAGCGCAGAATCGCATGGCCGGACGCACTCTTAGTGAAAATTTTTTTCTCCATTAGTGGAAAAGGAAGGGCGCCTTTTGCGTCTGGATATACTTAGCAACAGAAGGGCGCCCTGTACGTTGGGCACGAAGTATAGGAAACTTGCATGGTTAAAAAGAAGGGCGCCGCCTACGTTGGGCACGACTTCCGCCTCATTTTTACAATTTTATAAGTAGCAGTATAGACGTGCTACTAGATTAAACAATAAATATTTCCTATAAAAAAAAAACGCTGCAACTTCTGTAGCTTATTCAATTTTATCAACGTGGTCGAGCCTTGAGTAGGTGACAGCTTAATTAATTACAATCCAGACAAACTCAGCCACAGGAAGAATCTTAGATGACACACCCTTTGATACTTCCATTATTCGTTTTATCATTTTATTATTTTAACGTCAATTTTATTTTTTAAATAATATTTAATTCATATACAGTATTATACATATTGCAGTAAATAATTAGGCCTATACTAGAACAATTGATAAGCATAGGGCTATATTTATTGATCTATATGAAAATACAGTTACATATTTATTTATTGAAACAGCTAACTTAAATGCGATAACAAAATTTACACAGGATAAATTTGGAAGTAGCTGTATACACAAATTGAATAAGCTACAGAAGTTGCGTCGTTTTTTTATAGGAAATATTTCTTGTTATATATTGTTTTGAAATTAAACGTTTTTTTCAGAGTGTGAACGAATTAAGCAGATGTATGACAATGCATTAGAAAGTAATGTTGCAGAAAAATTAAAAAGGAAAAACAGCGAAACAGATACATCTAATGTGACACCGGCTACAAAATCACAACTACCAGCCACCTCTCTCACAGCAGCACCTGTATCTCAATCTGAGGTAAATACATATTGCAGTGTAGGCCTCTAGAACTACCGGAAGTTAATAATTCCAAATGTCTCCATTGTATTGGTCTGCATATCAGAATCACAGTTTGGGCGGGTTTTTTTCACTGTTTTACCCAATAACGTATAGTGTATAATATTTGTTCAGCATTCACATTTTTTGAGTTATATTATACCATTATGTACTTAAAAGTAAGCTAAGTAAGAGATATCGTTTTATCATTTCAAATGCTAGAGATTATGGCAATACCACATTGAATTGTGCTTCATGTGTGCGCCTAGACAATTAGTGCCAAATTAATTGTCTTAATTACAATTCACAATGGATAATGCTACGGGAAAGCGTTTTGATTACTTTCCCGTTAAGTGCGTGTGTCACTGTTGTAAAAGTGTCGTTTACTTCAAGATACCTCCATGCTTCAAGCGACAATAAGTAAGTTACAATTAAACAATGTAAATTCACAATAAACGTCTGTAAAACGTAGAAGAGTTCAGAAGTCTTGATCGGAGAGAAATTATGAATATCTATGAGAGAGCTGTGGAGAGATTTCAGTACTACAGAATTTCTTACTCAGTAGGGAAACTGACCACACATGAGGAAGTAGATTTTGGTCCTAACAAATTGATGTAGAGAGGTTACATTGTCTGTGTGTCTGGAATTTACATGGATATTGTCTGAAGTAGAGTGACAGTTAATTTTCACAAATTAATAAGCATTTGAGTACAAAAGATATGAGATTAAGTTCACGTCAGAAGCTAAATAAGAGGGAGAAGATGTAGAGTTTCTAAACGGGCATGATATGGAGCGTGTCACTTCCTCGTTTCTACAAGCTAAAAATACCTCTAGAAGCGAACACCTGTAGGCCTAAGTTCATTTTTTTCTTTCGAATGTGGAAGCAGGTAACTTACTAGTCCATTCTCAATTTAGTCTATTCTCAATTATTGGTAAAACCAATGATTTGTATAAGACTAAATCATAACTTGCTGGTTAGCACCGTTTGCAACCCATGAGACGTAAGATTTTAAAGCACTTGAAAACATTTACATGATTTATCCATGACAGTGTGCTGTCTATTTTGAGACCGAGGTATTTGTGGGCATTTATTGCATTGAGAGGTGGTCATTTAGTTTGTAGGTACGGTTGAGGTATATGCATTACTTTAGTTTTGGATGTGTTAATGTCATGCGATTTGTACTGGACCATTGACCAAGAAAGTCGAGGTCTTCTTAAAATGTTGAAACAAAATGTTGAAACATCTCTACAACTTTTATTAGGTCGATAAATTAAGGCATCGTCTACAAAGAAAACACATGGTGACTTTTAAAAATGAAAGGTAATTCGTTCACAAAAAGATTGTTTGCCCAGTTCGCCCTGAGGCGAAAGTCAGGATGAGAATTAAAAATAAAATGTTGACCATTTTTCCAACAATCATAATATACTTACTTTCATTGACTCTTATTTTGAACGTTACCACTAGGACATTGTTTAAATCCACACTAGCCTATATATTACACTTTTACACTGATTGTACTGTAGGCCCTACACATTCCTGTTACATTATGGTCATTTCTATAGAGCATGATAAGGTGCATGACAAACGTTACGTAACCACTACTCATTCGGAGTCGCTCAGCTCAGTCGTACCATGGAGGAAATATATTAATATATTTCCTCCATGGTCGTACCATAGAGAAAATAGTTCTCTATGGTCGTACAGTACATGCGTCTATCTTGGCATTGACACTGTGTGTTTTTAGTATTGTTTTAAAGTATAAACTATCAGACATTCCCATAAACAACAGAACGAATGAAAATTTATTTGGAGTAACTACCGGTATTGCTTTCAGCAACAGTGGCGTATTCAAGATTTAAGAAAGGTGGGGGGGGGGGGGGGGTGGGTGCTGATGAAATGAGAGCCCACACTATGTCAGCGCCACCGTGGTTGGCGGTGACACGAAAATGTTATACCTCTGGATGCCCGGAAATGGAACTTAAATTACCTTTTAATTATTTTTATTTTTGACGAATAGGGTAAAGAAAAACCCGAATTAATTAAATAGGTACCCGAAAAGGCCACTTTAATACTTACAATTAAAAAAACTACCTTATCCAACTGAACTCCACCCTCTGAGAAAATTTTGAGAATTTAAAACTCGACAGATGCCCAAAAACAGCACTTGAATAGTACAAAACTTATGATATCTACATGGGCTCCCTCCCCATAATTTTAGTGCGCAGGTGAGCAAATTTTAAGAATTTGAGACTTTGTAGATGCCCGAAAACCGCACTTGAATACTTGAAATTTATGAAAACTACCAATCCATCCACCTCAGCCCACCATGGTTGAGGCTGATGTGAAGGGGGACTTGGTTTTTTTCAACCTCTGAGGACCCCCCTCCCTGGATATGCCACTGCAGCAATATCTTCATTGTCTCTATCTCTCTTTATCGGGCACATCCGGTTAATGGTGGGCAAGTTATAACTTTTTTATGTCTGTTCTCCACAAATCTCTGTTGAGGAATGTACTGCCGCTGTGTGTTTAGATCCTTTTGTAATTGCGCTCTATGTATGTAGTCGGGGCCGTCCTTACTTCCTTTTCCCATGGATTGGTTCCCAAAAGAGAACCCTTTAAATAACTTCATTTCTACTTTTGTAGCAAATGCTTACCTTCGTGTCCTCAAGGTTCTTGATACAGGGAGAATATCTCCATACAGGTCCTTATTTGTAATATGTTGTTTATCATTGATATTCAAGGCGTGTCAGAGTAATCTTGTACAACAACCACCAAGTCCTCTCTCTCAAGGATATGTTCGTTTATCTTTTTATAGAAATTCCGTAATAAGTAATATCTTTTTTAAAACCCTAGGTCACCTGAGTTTAGAGGATTCCCCCATGCAGTGGCGGATTCAAAAGGGGAATCCAGTCGGTCCGGGCCCTGGTAAATATTTCGAAATTATTTTTAAAGAATGGAGAAAAAACTGAAAATTATATTAAAATGCTGTGGCGACGTAATCCTTATTTCTTATGTGTCTATCTGAAGGTCCCTCTCTGGGCACCCCCTATTTCGAATTTTTAGATCCGCCACTGCAAGGACCACCCTATCTGAGCGAAGGTCAGGGAAAATCCTGGATCCGCACCTGCCTAGAACACTGCACTGAGGTACTCCAGGCATTTTCTCAGAAGATGCTCCACAAGTGCTGGCCAGTATAAATTAGTCTCTGTTGTCTTTTGTCAGTAGAGTTTGATAAGAAGCCTTCGATTACGTTTTACTTTGATTGATACACATGTAATTTCAAAATCACTATCCAATGATATACTATACGTGTAGGGTATAGATATGTAAGTGTATACATATTCCACCACCCTCGAATGGCATCTTTCCTGAATATTACAAAGTTTTCTAGTAGATGAGTAAATCATTATTAGTAAGCCAAGTCACAGTCTCATTACGAGTTGGATAGTAGAGAGCAGTTATATTTTGAGCCCTCAATACTCTAGTATCAGTATGGGGCTTGGGAGTGGTAAAGCTATTATAAGAGAATACGGGGTTTACATCTCCCTGCTATAACAAAGTTTAACATATTTTTCATATTAATATAAATCAAAGACTATTAAGTAACATAGTTATAAACATGCAATATTTTTTTTAAATTTTTGTATACACAGCACGTCATGACGTCGAAACCAACTGCAGCAAAAGGAGGTAGGACTAATTGCTATTAGACATTATTTTAGCTGGACATTTATTTATGTTTTACATGTTTCCTTATTTTATTCATTATGATTACAAGCCATAATTGTCACGGTCACAAAAAGGGTAAAGATAAATAAACTTTAGTATACGTAAATATAACCTTTACACAATTTCGAAGAAAAGATTCCATTCGACAACAATTTCAGTAAGAAGGATGCACATATATTTAACCTAGGGGAAAGACCTGTAATATCGTACACGTTTGATCTATTATATACAGATACTATATTATAATTATAATTATTATTATTATTAGAGTATTATTAACATCGTCATCATCGCAATCATCATCATTATTGTTTTAAATTATTAACGTTATTATTGTTGTTTAGGTTGTCATTTACCGTCATCATCATCTACTGGTCAAAATGCATTATTACCATCTTGCATCAATATAGTCAGTAATAATAAATATTCCTATCATTGTACAGTATTTCGCCAATCAGTATTTGACTTCAAATTGCATTTCATTTTGTTTGTATATAGAGTATTATTATAATCTAACATTAAATATTCTGTAATAATAAATCATAGGGCCTATTAATTTTTTATTAATCGATTTGGTTGCAATGCTTGATTATTATTTAAAAGCTATTTTTATCACATTATTATTATTATTATTATTATTATTATTATTATTATTATTATTATTATTATTACTATTATTATCGCTCAAAAGGAAACGAAACAGGCACAGGGATTACAGGGAATACCATTAGCCCAAGACAAGTATTCACATCGGAAATACAAACAAAAATTTTGAAGAGAATGACTAGGAAGACCTCAGGGACGGGTAGAAACGACGATATCACTTACATTTGGGACTTCGCTGGCCAGCAACTGTATTACATAACCCATCGAGTAAGTATATAAAGCCAAAATATCATTCGAAGGTTTGCATGGCGAAGTAATAATATAATATATTAATGCTTGCGGTACACCACGTAGATAGTTCTGAAAAGAACTGTTGTTTGAAAATGTCCCGAGTACGCTTCGATTGAGTTGCTTCAATCGTCTGCAGATATTACTCTCCTGAAAACGATTGAAGCAACTCAATCGAAACGTCGAGATATTCTCGAGACATTCTCACCAACAAAAGTTCTTTTCAGAACTATCTACGTGGTGTACAGAAAGCATTAGTACCGTATGTATTATATAAAGCAACTTAAAGTCAGAAATATCTTCTTTTTTTTCATTAATCAAAATAATAATTATGGAATATCCTTTATTAATTGCAAAGCTTACACTTAAATTCATCTCTTTGAGAATTAATTACGGTAACATTTTTATATTAAATTATCACTTTTTCGTCCAGATATTTCTAACGAGCGAGGCTGTGTATTTGATTTTGTTTAATTTGATGGAAAGTATGCATGCCAAAGGGAAGTGTAGAGTCTCCAGAATGGTAAATTTATATTTTCTCATTTGTAATTAATTATGTTACGCTTCTCGCTTTATGAAAATAAACTTTTAAATTAATAGACTGTTTAAAAGACGGGCACTCACTGCGCCCAATGATCGTCGGCCGACGCGATACTATGGAGAAACGCAACACGACGACGCGTGCGCAACGGATCGTTTTTAATGACGATCCATTCAGACTGCCACCGAGAATCAGCAGACAGGTGGTCTGGCACATACAGGAACGGAGTTGGATTCGTCGGGCTGTACGACGCGGTGAGTGCCCGGCTTTAGTCATACTGACGTCGTAGGATCGGTTTGGCGCACCGGTTGTGCTTCTGCTTCTCAACCATGAGGTTTGAGGTTCAATCCCTCGCTGTGTATTTGCTTGTATCCTTTACCTACGGTTGTCTCCACCCACCAGGAGTACAAAGGGGTATCTGGTAGGTTCAAGAACAAAATTACAGCTGCAATATTATGGAATTCTCTCCAGGGACCTTAGTATGTGTTCCAAATGTGCTTGATACAATGACCGGGGGTAATAATGTTAAGCGCATAGAGGTCTCTACAATGCGATACATACGTCTATTATTATTATTATTATTGTTGTTGTTATTATTATTATTATTATTATTATTGTTATCGTTATTATTATTATTATTATTATTATTATTAATATTTTTATTATCAATAATAATGAGAGTGCTCAGCTCATTTATAAATAACATAAAATATAATATTGTAATTGCCATATTTCTTCAGGCAAAAGACATGACGTGCAATATGACAAATATACAGATCATAAAATATTGGATGAGGTTGATCTTTACCTATGCCGTTCCAGCTGGGTCACAATGGAAGCCTCGACAGAAAGTCAAGAAACCTCAAATTTTGGTGGTTGGCACCCACAGTGAGAGCCTGTTTGGGACCGATGAAGAAAAGAAGAAACAGGTAACATATACCGATGTCCGGTAGCTATGTTATTATAGTCTGCTAAGATTAATGCTGGCCATTATAATAATTGAATCGAATCTCACAGCCGAAATGATTGGTTAAAACTCATTCACCTTTGTTTATGTTATGTTTATATTCTCCGTATTTAGATTGAAGACCAGTATAGTATCATATTCGAAGAAATCAGAGACATGCCATATGAATGCCACGTTTCGAGAAAAATGTACGCCATTGACAACAAGTATACATCGCAAAGTGCTGAGGCATTAAAATCACTTAAACAAGATGTTGGTGAATTTCTGAAAGCGATGCCAAAAACGATCCCACTTAAGTGGCTTGAATTTCAATATATGCTGCAGGAGATTGGCAAGAAGTCAGTCCACATGCAATATGCTGAGGTAAATGTATTCAGTATATGCCCACTGTAGGCCTACATAGCAATGTTATGAATATTTTTGGCTCCTATTAACAATAATGTCGAAACATTTACACAGTTGCCCTGCAGAATGATTCTAAGATCGTAGTTCCGCGTTTATCTTGATTACTACAGCAGGCCGACTGCTAAGGTTAGATTTTCTCTGCCGTAATGTACTGGCGAGTCTTCCTCAATGTACATATTATTTTATATTTCATAGGTTTGCAAAGTTGCCACCAAATGCGGGATCTCCATGAAGAATCTCCTATACGCTCTCAAGTACTTACATGATCTTGGAATCATTTTGTACTTTGAGAAGAACGAACTGCTGAGGCACACAGTGATTACAGACCCAAGGAAATTGATTATCATCTTCAAGAAAATTATCACAGAAGTAAAACATTATGATGAGGATAAGGTTAGATAATTTCTTTTGGATATAGCGTAAAACCTCACATAGAAGCCAATTGGCTTAAACTCAAGAAGAAGCCCATCTCGAAAAGAAGCTCGCCTACCGTATGTAATTCCAAAGTACGGTAATCTCAAAAGGAAGCCCATCTCGAAAAGAATCCCCTCCTTAGTCTGCAAAAGTATATCGAAAAGAAGATCATCTCGAAAAGAAGCCCCCCCCCCTCTTTAATTCCAAAGTACGGTAATCTCAAAAAGAAGCCCATCTCGAAAAGAATCCCCTCCTTAGTTTGCAAAAGTATCTCGAAAAGAAGATCATCGCGAAAAGAATCCACCTCTTTAGTCATGCAAAAGTAATCTCGAAAAAGCCCATCTTGAACAGACGCTCCCTCTTTAGTTTGCAAAAGTGATCTAAAAAAAAAAAACCCACAAAAGTATCTCGAAAAGAAGATCATCGCGAAAGGGGCCCATACTTTGACTTTGTTTTCATGATTATGATAGCCTGTCAGTATCAATACATTGGGTAAATAAAAACAAGTAAGCCCAGTCAAAAACATTTATTCTTTTATATTATATGTTAGTATCAATATTATTATCTTGTAGCATTGTAAATCCCTCACGGTTATAATCTAAACGTTTAATCAATGGGATTCCATGCATGAATTTCATCTAAAGAAGCCATTGTCACCTACGGAAATTCATATATAATATGAATGTCATAGACGATCAATTTGGATCGAAGGTCTAATGTCTGTCCAACAATGTACACAACAAAAAGAATTACAAACTTTTTAATTTAACAAATAAGTAAATCTTTATTTCTAAAATAATAAGTCTTCTTTTTAAACAATAAACAACACAATACAAACAATACAAACAGACAACATTAAATATTAAATATCAAATTCGCAACCAATGCTTTTAATTCAAATCATAACATTACTTAGCAATGATTAATTTATAATGAAATATTGGCTATCCAAATCTTAAAGATTATCTTCATGTATAGCAAATAACTACCAGTTTAATTAATATATTATAACATTATTGGAGTAAATAGTAATGACGAATACTACGTCTCTATTTAATCACTGTTCCCGCTTAAACACGTCTGTCTTGATAATGCGTTGAATATCCACCATCATAACTGATTACGATACTCTACGCTTCATCATTGGTTTCTACTTGAAAAATTCCATACAATAGCACAGTAGCTCCCAAATATTAGGTTGAAAGTTAGATGACACTGTATTAAAGCAAACATGCATAAAACGAGTATGTCTTATAAACAATCACGTTATATAGGCCCATATGCACATGCAGCACATATGCATATAACCACACGTCATATGTATACATATATTATATGTGTATAAATACACACACATATACCTGTATACATATGTATATACATACAATCATACCCACATAATACACATGTTACATATTGTACCTATATATCAACAGTAGGTTTAAAGATTATAATTTAATTATCCATACATTTACTGATATTTAT